GGTAGTCTAAACAACCAAACAATGCAACAACTTGATACCGGGCCACACGGTAGTATTAACAACCCATAAACGCAACAACTTTATACAGGGCCACACGGTAGTGTTAACAACCCATCAACAAAACAATTACATACCGGGCCACACGGTAGTGTTAACAACCCATCAACAAAATAATTTTATACCAGGCCACACGGTAGTCTTAACAACCAATCAATGCAACAATTCCATGCATGGCCACACGGTAGTATTAACAACCCATAAACAAAACAATTACATACCGGGCCACCCGGTAGTGTTAACAACCCATCAACAAAATAATTTTATACCAGGCCACACGGTAGTATTAACAACCAATCAATGCAACAATTCCATACAGGGCCACACGGTAGTATTAACAACCCATCCACGCAACAACTTTATACCGGGCCACACGGTAGTCTTAACAACCAATCAATGCAACAATTCCATACATGGCCACACGGGAGTATTAACAACCCATCAACGCAACAACTTTATACAGGGCCACACGGTAGTCTTAAAAACCAATCAATGCAACAATTTCATACATGGTCACACGGTAGTATTAACAACCCATCAACGCAACAACTTTATACCGGGCCACACGGTAGTCTTAACAAACAATCAATGCAACAATTTCATACATGGCCACACGGTAGTATTAACAACCCATCAACGCAACAACTTTATACAGGGCCACACGGTAGTGTTAACAACCTATCAATGCAACAATTCCATACCGGGCCACAATGGAGTCTTAACAACCCATCAACGCAACTGTTTAATACAGGGCCACACGATAGTCTTAACAACTCATCAATACAACAATTGTATATAGACCACATGGTAGTCTTAACAACTCATCAATACAACAACTTTATACCGGACCACACGGTAGTCATAACAACCCAACAACGCAACAGTTTAATACAGGGCCATACGATAGTCTTAACAACCCATCAACGCAACAGTTTAATACAGGGCCACACGGTAGTCTTAACAACTCATCAATACAACAACTTTATACCGGACCACACGGTAGTCTTAACAACCTATCAATGCAACAATTGTATACAGGGCCACACGGTAGTCTTAACAACTCATCGACGAAACAATTTTATAAAGGGCCACACGGTAGTCTTAACAACTCATCGACGAAACAATTTTAAAAAGGGCCACACGGTAGTCTTAACAACTCATCGACGAAACAATTTTATAAAGGGCCACACAGTAGTCTAAACAGCCCATAACTGCTACACACTTGCATGAACATTAAGTTTTTCATTCTACTAAAACAAGTTGTAATTGTTTCGAGAATCGTTACATCAGTCCCCTAAATTGTTCTTGTTGTCATAAATGATATATTGAAAAGAATCCACAAGGAAATGAAATGCTTGTATATATTTTTTACAAAGATGGAGAAAGACTAGAAAAAGATAGGGACCGTTGGCATCACCTTGACGTAAAATGTAAATCCTTGTATGTGACAGTCAATCATAGGCCATGGCGGCCTTATTTGATGACCAATCGGAAGATAAAACACGTTACGCACACCTTCACATTTCCACCAACACTCATGTGTAGTTTCTTAGTATTCGGAGAGTAATTTCTTAGAGAACGACCAGTGAAAAAAGGGCATAACTTGAGAGGGGAAGTTCTCTAAATCAGAAAAAAAAGCTTCTTTCGGTTGCTTCATCATCTAAAATGAAGGGCGAAAACTCCAGGTCAAAAACATAAGGATAGAACTCTCTTTTGCGAATTTAAATGATGCAATTGTAACAGAAGAAAGAGAAATGCAAAGGCCAGACCGGGGTTTGAACTTTGAACGCTCCGAACGCTAGACGGATGTTCTACCTCGACCCAGTCCAGTTCCGCTACACAATAATACTTAAAATCAAATACAATTGTTCATATTGCAAGGCTTTGCTCTGTTATTACCTAAATCCCCATTTGTTCATGTCGCAATATAAGGGTTTGAAGGATATTCTAGACTCTGTGTAGAGGCGAAGGTAAGCGTTAGCCGTGTTTAAAATAAACATAAGAATAGATGATTTAGTGTAAATACGTTTTACTTTTGTCGGTAGATTAGGAAAGGGTGTGTGTATGCTGCCTGTGTTTTTAGTCCAGTTTTGGTCGTATTTGTGTACTAAACAATGACCAGGTATTTGTAGGTAAGGAATGCGTCGATCCGATTATATATATAATTACGCGGTGACTGTAACTAAACGAGCATTTCGACCTGAAGCCTCTGGGTGGTTTTTTTTGAGTTGGGAATGTTTATGAAATTCTATTCCATCGAACATCCAATTTGTAGATTTACTTTATTTATTCATTTGTTTATTCATTTTATTTATTTATTTATAGCCGAATTTCAGTTATCTCTCTTAAGGGCATATGCTACATTAAACATTTAACCTACAATTTGTGCTAGAGTTGGTTCCCTTGCACATAGAGAAAACCTTAAATTCATATTTTGATTTGTCGCCGATTTATTTATCTATTTTATTTATAGCAGATTTTCATCTAAACGATTATTACTTAGAATGTCGTTCATATCATACTATAATATGTGGCAGAGTTATCTCTCTTAATTAAGGACATATGCTACATTAAAAACAATTCCTGCAATTTGTGCTAGGGTTATTTCCCTTCAATATAGAAAACCCTTTAAATATTTGTAATAATGTAACAATAAGGTTTTATAGGCACTCTTCACCTTTCGCTGTTTTTCTGTGTTAGTTTAGGAACGCTTTAACCCATTCAACCCTAAATTCACATTTGAACCTTGCCAAATCAAAGACTGGGCAACTCCATTTCAAATATGTAGGGGTGAATGAGTTAAACTTAGATTTTCATTCTTTTCAATTTTAGTTCCAATGATGAGTCCTAACTGGACAAAATGGTCACGTGGTTCAGTAAAATGTTAACTTTGTTTGGCCTACAAACATCTTCAAACTAAGCTTTTTAAAATACATTAAACCTCGATATAATGCCTCTCGTTTCATTTGCCACCTCGTTTACTGCCAACATATTTCAACGGTTCTTTTTTTCGTGTTTTTTTTTAAATTTCCTTTTCATATTTCCGTCAATGTATTGCCAAACCCCTTTATAACGTCATATTCCCTTTTGACAAATGTTGGCAGTATATCGAGGTTTTACTGTAGGTGCTACCTCACTACGTAGTAGTTTTATATCTATTAACTCGTTCACCCCTTAAATTTCATAATGAACTCGTCCAGTTTTTTAACTGGAAGAGTTCAAATGTGTTTTAAGGGGTGAATGAGTTAAGCAAGATACTTCACTTATAATAACAATAATGATATACAACATTTGCTATTGCGCCCTATCTAACTAACATAAGCCACTCTAAAGCGCTTACAGTGCATAGATATACAGTATATACATTAAGCAATACAATTTTGAGAAGGTCGCAGGAATTCTAATCAGGTGTCAACTACTAGTCCTATGCCACCTGGCTAATATCTCCCTATGTGTGTATGCATGCGTGTGTGCTGGAGATGTAATGCATGCTAAACGGTATCCTTATTATACATAATCTACCTGTAACTTGTATGTTGATTGAATATCTTTCAAAATAAAGTAGTTAGATGCAATGTATAGCAATTGTATGTATATTTTATTTATGCTTTACCCATGTCACCAAATTAAAAATCAAATAAACCATTATTAAGATTATAATTACAGATTTTATTTGAGAAATGTTTCGATAATTGATGCATTAAAGTTGCATACCTCCTCAATGTGACAATCAGCTATTGAGATATTTTCAATTTAAAAGTTCAGTTTAAAAAGTTATGACGGATAATCCGAATTAGTCCTGCAAGTGTCGCTGATTTAGATTGTCTTTAAACGATTCTTAATGAATTGTGTCGAAAATAACCAAATGCTAGAAATCAACGATTAAACGAAGTGATGTATTTGCAAGTGTATAATTATTTTGACAGTTTCCACGCGTGCTGAATTTGAGCAAAGTGCACTTGCGCTGAAATCTCATCAAGGGAAAGCTTTCTTCCTTCCGCGGACCCGCCATACGCATTGTGTTACATAAAACACAACGACAGGATACCGTTTAATAAAGTTTGGTTATCTTAACACGTGTTTACACGATAACATGACACAGTCAGGCAAAGTATGGTTAACTTAACACTGTGTTAATACAATGCCATAACACAGACATACAACGTATGGTTATCTTTACACTGTGTTAATACAATACCAGGCAAAGTCAGACAAACTATGGTTTACTTAACACTGTGTTAACACAATACATGTACCAGGACATATATATTATATGTGGAGTTTAATATATACGAAATCTTAAAATAAATTATTATAAAACGTTGTACTTATACAATAACATTCATTGATTGCGATGTCTGAGTCAACAACGTCTTCTTTTCGAGTTCAACTAAAATGAATGTATTTTCATGTTCTTTCGGCAGCAACATTCAATTCGAAAAAAAACATTACTTTGGTTAAATATTATCAAATTGACCGAATTATTTACACGAATAAGAACCACACACGGAAATGATAAACCACTTCGAGATAATTAAGTTTGTTCTAGTAACTCGAATTCGAGATGTTAAACAAGATTTCCTTTTCTTCCTCTTTTTATTTACGTTCTCAACCCCCATTCCCATCCCGACCCTTCTCTCGCCAACCCCGCCCCAAACTTATAGGAAAACAAACATAGAAATCTTAATATTTGCAACACAAGTCTGTTGACACGATAACACGACACAGTCAGACAAAGTATGGTTAACTTAACACTGTGTTAATACAATACCAGTACACAGTCAGACAAACTATGTTATCTTTACACTGTGTTAATACAATACCATAACATAGTCAGACAAAGTATGGTTAACCTAACACTGTGTTAATACAATACCAGGAAAACAAATATAGTAATCTTAATATTTGCAACACAAGTCAAATTCATCCAAAGGAACACTTACTGTAAATGGTTTCCATTAAATCACCCGTCGATATTTTAAATGATGATTTCTCCCGTGTTTAGACTATATATATCACAGAGCTGCACGACATTCCACATTAGAAAACATCACTATATTTCACTTCTGTTTAAATCTCTGATTTCTCATTAAAAGTCTGATGACTGAAATATATAGTGCTAAAATTATCAACATAAGGAAACTAGACAAACAGAGAAGGTCCAATCACCCTTCCTTGCAGACACAGTGTTCGTATTTAATACCATGAATAGAGAAGGTCCAAACACGATTCCTTGAAGACACCATGTCCTTATTTAATACCATGAATAGAGAAAGTCCAAATACGCATCCTTGTAGGCACCGTGTACTATTTTATCCTAATTTGATACCATAAATAGAGACGGTCCCAAAGCAGGTCCTTGTAGCTTCCCCTGCTGTCTTTATTACAGATCTGAAACTCTTTTGATATGCTAAAAAGGTGGGGTCCCGATACAAATTCTTGTACAATCCATGTTTTTTGCTATCACACTGCGCTGAAATATTGCAAACACATTTCTCAACAAGAAGTAAAAAATTCCGTCTGTTTCTCAGCTTAGCACGACTCTTATTAAACACAACAGGTCAAAATGTTTTGACAAAATACTAAAGATTAAATCTACCGTCACTTGTAATAAACTGTGCTAATCTATCGAGACACAACCAGACTTACTGGTGAATGAATGAAAGATCACGAACACTAAACCACCTCAAAACACGTATTTGTTAAAATCCCGGATACCAAACGCCTCTGCATAACCGTGGGATTATTTCTGAGTAATACTGTGAACGACTAAAGACTAAACCTTACAACTCACAGGTATTGTAGCGCACAAGCTCTACGCCATAAGATTTCACGGTATACAAGCTATTTAGCTTCAATGCACACAGTTTGCCTCGAGGGACAGAGATCTCGATCATTTTGTAAATTGAAAGTACTTTCACTTTTGATATTTTCTATAAAGTGTCAAGCATTGTGAGCATTTTTGTTTTATTTTTTTTCAAATGTCACAAATTCAGAAACTATCACATTTGATGCATATCTCTTCACATAATCGACTCATATTGGTGATTGTTTATATTTACGCCCTGTCGTACCGATTAAGCTTTTAAGACTGAAAACTAAAGTAAAAATGAATTTCAAATCATTGATATTGTTATCATCATTATAACTGAAACCTAAATATAGGTGTCAAAGTATTCAAAATAATCCATTTTCAGATAATTTTTACAAAACCATACTTTCATCAATTGTGGTCTTGAGAGCATTGTTAGGTTAACAGATCGTAAAAGTACTTCCAATCTCCTTTCATTTTATTTGTTTGTTTTATTTCCTGTCTCCATGTAATCATTCAAACTCCATTTACAAAGTTAAACGTACATTTAATTAAATTTTAAAATAGTTGTGATTTTTTGTTACATTTCTGTTAACATATTTGACTTGGAACGCCTGCTGGCTAGCAGGTCATTCTGTGTAGTTGGTGTCAATTTCACAATGTTATCTACAACTGTGTAATTATGTGTTTATTGAAATCGACACCTACACTGTACAATGAAATCAAGATGGAACAGCAACCGTGGGTAGCTTCTAGAGTCGATAACGCCCCATGAACTTTATCTTTAGCGGTCGTGGTCTAAATATCTACGATACAATAAAGTTCTGAAATAAGCGTAATCTTTAGAAGTTGTAGCCTAATCCTGCAAACAGCGTCTTCTTTGTACCGTATCAGCAGTGGCCCGACGTTATTTCTGAGGTAGGCCTCCTCTGTTGCATCAGCTGACGGATATGCAGCTTACTGTAAGCATGCTCTGTAGCGGTCGTGGCCTGCACTTACTACTGAAGTAAACATGCTCTGTGGCGGTCGTGGCCTACACTTACCTCTGAAGTAAACATGCTCTGTGGCGGTCGTGGCCTACACTAACTACTGAAGTAAGCGTGCTCTGTAGCGGTCGTGGCCTACACTTACTACTGAAGTAAGCGTGCTCTGTGGCGGTCGTGGCCTACACTTACTACTGAAGTAAACATGTTCTGTGGCGGTCGTGGCCTACACTTACTACTGAAGTAAACATGCTCTGTGGCGGTCGTGGCCTACACTTACTACTGAAGTAAACATGCTCTGTGGCGGTCGTGGCCTACACTTACTACTGAAGTAAACATGCTCTGTGGCGGTCGTGGCCTACACTTACTACTGAAGTAAACATGCTCTGTGGCGGTCGTGGCCTACACTTACTACTGAAGTAAACATGCTCTGTGGCGGTCGTGGCCTACACTTACTACTGAAGTAAACATGCTCTGTGGCGGTCGTGGCCTACACTTACTACTGAAGTAAACATGCTCTGTGGCGGTCGTGGCCTACACTTACTACTGAAGTAAACATGCTCTGTGGCGGTCGTGGCCTACACTTACTACTGAAGTAAACATGCTCTGTGGCGGTCGTGGCCTACACTTACTACTGAAGTAAACATGCTCTGTGGCGGTCGTGGCCTACACTTACTACTGAAGTAAACATGCTCTGTGGCGGTCGTGGCCTACACTTACTACTGAAGTAAACATGCTCTGTGGCGGTCGTGGCCTACACTTACTACTGAAGTAAACATGCTCTGTGGCGGTCGTGGCCTACACTTACTACTGAAGTAAACATGCTCTGTGGCGGTCGTGGCCTACACTTACTACTGAAGTAAACATGCTCTGTGGCGGTCGTGGCCTACACTTACTACTGAAGTAAACATGCTCTGTGGCGGTCGTGGCCTACACTTACTACTGAAGTAAACATGCTCTGTGGCGGTCGTGGCCTACACTTACTACTGAAGTAAACATGCTCTGTGGCGGTCGTGGCCTACACTTACTACTGAAGTAAACATGCTCTGTGGCGGTCGTGGCCTACACTTACTACTGAAGTAAACATGCTCTGTGGCGGTCGTGGCCTACACTTACTACTGAAGTAAACATGCTCTGTGGCGGTCGTGGCCTACACTTACTACTGAAGTAAACATGCTCTGTGGCGGTCGTGGCCTACACTTACTACTGAAGTAAACATGCTCTGTGGCGGTCGTGGCCTACACTTACTACTGAAGTAAACATGCTCTGTGGCGGTCGTGGCCTACACTTACTACTGAAGTAAACATGCTCTGTGGCGGTCGTGGCCTACACTTACTACTGAAGTAAACATGCTCTGTGGCGGTCGTGGCCTACACTTACTACTGAAGTAAACATGCTCTGTGGCGGTCGTGGCCTACACTTACTACTGAAGTAAACATGCTCTGTGGCGGTCGTGGCCTACACTTACTACTGAAGTAAACATGCTCTGTGGCGGTCGTGGCCTACACTTACTACTGAAGTAAACATGCTCTGTGGCGGTCGTGGCCTACACTTACTACTGAAGTAAACATGCTCTGTGGCGGTCGTGGCCTACACTTACCACTGAAGTAAACATGCTCTGTGGCGGTCGTGGCCTACACTTACTACTGAAGTAAGCATGCTCTGTGGCGGTCGTGGCCTACACTTACTACTGAAGTAAACATGCTCTCTGGCGGTCGTGGCCTACACTTACTACTGAAGTAAGCGTGCTCTGTAGCGGTCGTAATCTACACTTACTACTGAAGTAAACATGCTCTGTGGCGGTCGTGGCCTACACTTACTTCGAAGTAAGTGTCCTCTGTTGGGATATTTGTTATATTTGTATCGGTCGTTGGCTACACTTACAATGAACGTCTGTAACAAGGGTCATTGTTCTAGTAACGAGACCAAATGACCCTGTTTGTCGCAATAATAGCACTCAAAAGCTAATGTCCTTGTTTACCTGCATGTATGCGACGTTAAATAAAGTTTCTTGTATCTTGTACCCTCTCATCGGGGGAGTACAATGTAGCAAACGGAGTCTGCATTGTACCTTCGATTTGGTTTACATTTCCTCGGTTTGAAAAATATACAATAATGCCTTGTTACGAATGTTATCATTTCTTCCGTTTTACTAATAGTCATATTCATTTTTAATTGCTGAACATTGAGCTTGTCCATTTGTCGTTGGGGTCGAAATCAACGTCAAATGATTGCGTAAACATGTTGAACAGAGAAAAACGCAAAGAAGACCCTCAAAGTCAATGAGGTCACACCGGAACAAACATCTAACATCAAGGGCGATAACTCTTTTATATAGTCCATTGCCAAACTACTGCATAGCTAGGTATAATTTAATCACATGTTTTGTAAAATCAAATATCATTAAATTGAACGCAATGCGTATCACTGCTTTTTTAAATGATGTATACAGTACATTGCGTGACTTAAAGTCAGCATATGCATCATCGTTTCTGAGTTGAACTAGTTTTAAGTTACTGCACAAGTAACAAGTTAAACCCTGTTGATATCTGCATCATTCATTTTGATGTGCATTTCAAAACCCTTATCCGATTAAGTTGTAAGCTGTATGAGAACCATGCGACTTCTTTGTGTAGAAGAAGGTGTGGAAATTTGAAAAATGTTTTGAGTCATTGTCCGTCTGAAAATTATCTCATAATAAATGTATTATATTGAGTCCGTGTCCATGTAAGGGTTCGATTATTATACTGAGTAAGTATGCTAACCATGCTTGCCACACCCGGATTACTGTCTAGTCATCACTGTAGTATATATATCTGTGGTATAATCAGCACGGTCCGATGGGCAGGTATCGCGCTAATGTTTACCGACATTGACAGGTACATGTAAGTTTCATGAGTGAAATGAACACCCACGAGATTTAGATACATCAATCGCCTTACTTTCTTGTCGTTTTCAGAATTGGTGTAATTTACTGTTGTACAACTAGGACTTATTGTATAAATTCACTTAAAATTTAAGGCCATTCTTAATTTCTTTCGTATCCAAAGGTTTCATCAGGTTTTCTCAATCCTCCCATAAATATTATAGGTTTGTTCGCTGTTGCCATGCCTACTACAGGGTTCCTCATTACTACCGTATCTGTTACAGCTTTCTTCACTCAGGTCCCATAACTGTTACAGTGTAGATGCTTCCTCGATCCCCCCATTACCACTTAAATTTACATAAAGGGATCATTCATGTTACTCCTACATTCAATCGGTAACCGTCGTCACTTTCCGTAAATGTAAGGTGCAGTATTAGGATATCTATGCAGCAGTCTGGGTTTGTAGTTCTCGTTTTTTTTCTTTTTTTTCTTTTTTTTTTATTATTTACACATCTCTGTTTCAGACGTAGCTAAGACCTCTGTAGTACCACCTTTTAGTCCCTAGCTTCCCCGATGAGTCATTGAAGGACGAAACATCTGTATGATGTAGTGTAATATTTCAGATACTGTGTATCTATAACAAAATCACGTGTGTGTCCTACGTTCATCTTGCATTAATCAGTTCTCAAATTATGACGTCACGTAAGACATGACGATTTACACCTCTATAGTTCATCATCATCAGTGTCACGGTTATCAGAAAACATGAAATGTGAGTTTCCACGAAAAACGATTTTCTTGTCCACTAAAAGCATGAATAGTAGTGGGAAAAGGCGTTCCCATCCTTGACCATCTTTTTGACGTACATGTAATTAACTCGTGTTAGCTAATTATTAGATTGTAAATTATGAGTTTAGCACACTTGATTTAGGTGAGTCGAATCAAATCAGATTACTTCACTGGTTTTTGACATGGAGTATCCTCCCTTCTACATAGAAGATGAAGTTACCTAAAGGAGTCATTTTCTGGCTGATTGTACTGTTTCCTGTGAACGCTTGTACATTTCAATGTTAACTCTTTTTCAGCA